CGTGCACATAAATCAACACGATAACCTGCATCACCTATAATCCCGTTGATCGTCGAGTGACTCGAGCGGGCGCTAGTAAATCTTTCATTTTTCCCTGTCGCGCGCAAGAGTAACCCAGTGGGTTCTGCTTGCTCTAGGGACTCGTTGACCATTATATCTTTCCTCTACGCTTTCTGCGAAGAACTATGGCCATCGGGTCGGTGGTTTTTCTGCAGTGCGTTTAACATCTCGAGGAATCCAGTCACTACCGCCTCCTGTCCATCGGTTGTCACTCATACGCATTACGTGTCCGGCCCATCTTTTCCTCGAGTGCTCGGCGTACAGAACCGCATCTTTGAATTTTTATCGTTATCGCAGATTGGAGCATCGGATCCCTTTCTTTACTTGCGCGACACGGGATACTCCTAGCATCCTCCTTTCAACTGCGCGTTCAATAATGTTGAGTGACCTTCATCCTGTTAACGCAGCGATCAGGTTTCTGACGCATGCTAATGCAGGAGGTATCGTCGAGTCGAAAAGGTGGGCACGGAGCCGTGTGTTCTTTGTTCTCTTCACTATATCCTCGCTGCTCTTGAAAGTTCCTCAAGCCATTCGTTTTCTTCTCCTCAGCTCTGGAGCAAGGCCGTTCATCATATTGATTTCCCGACCTAGATAGATATTCCGACCTGGACCATTCAGAGATATTCGTTCCGTTGAGCGTGAATGGGAAATGGGAAACCAATCCGTTCTTCATGAAAATCGTTTTTGTGAGATTCAGTCGAAGACCAATCTTTCCACAGGCTTTATCCAAGTCGTCAAGCATACGTTCTGCTTGGCTAATGTTTGGTGTTATAAGGACGATGTCATCGGAAAAGCGAAGATGGTGTAATTGCCGACCGTCGATTTTCACCACCATATTATCCCATACCAATGTTCGCATAACGTTCTGGAGGGTGGCGGTAAATAATTTTGACGAGATGGTATCGCCTTGCCTAACTCCCCTTTTGACGTCAATGTTAATATCGTTGTAGAATGGTGATACCTTGATTGTGAAACTTTTGTACGGCTCATGAAGAATCTTTTACTGAGTAGGGACTCCCTGACTACCAAGGGCTTCCATGACTGCTTCTATCTCAATTGAATCATCGATGAAAGTGAGACAGAGCGGTTTTTTGTACTCTCGAGATACCTCATTGAGTTTTGTTATCGTGTGGGTGTGGTCCATTGTACTATTTCCTTCCCGAAACCCTGCTTGCTCACATGGCTGTCCTTCGTCTAGTGTTCTGTCAATCCTGTTTAGGATGACAAGAGTGGAAAGTTTGTAGACGACAGACAGTGAGCAAATTGGGGAATAGTTGCCGATATCGTGTAGGTCACCCCTCTTGAACAATAAAACGGTCGTGTTGGTCTTCCACTGAGTAGAGACCTTGCATTCAGACAGGTAACGCGCCTTGAGCCGAACCAGTGTGTTTGCGAGGACTAGCGGAAGGTTCTTCAGATGTTCTGATCTTATCCTGTGCGGACCTGGTGCTGTTCGATTCTTCACCGACGAAATGGCATGTCGGATTTCGAAAGGGGGAACCGGTGGTACAACATAATCACCCCCTTTATTTCATGTAACGGAAGGTGGACGTGGCTATTGAAGAGATCCGAGTAGTATTCGTGAACGATTTTCTCCGTTGCCTTTCTGGACGCTGTAACTGTTACGTCTGGGAGCCGGAGAGCAATCACTTTGGTCTTGTAATTGGCGTAGCTTCGGTGGGCTTTGTGAATGCTTACCCTAGCCTCTGCAACTTCGGCCATTACTGCTGCTCTTCTCTCTCCAAGATCCTCTTTTATCGCCTCTCTGCATTGTGTTGCAAATTCGGACGTTAGATCGCGGTTGCCTGCAGCTCGTGCGATTCCATGCTGGCGTATCAGCTCGAGTGTTTCTGGAGACAGACGTCTCTTGGTGACTTTCGAACTCTGAGCTTTCATAGCGGTATCGTGAAGATGTTGAATGAGCCGATCGTATTCTTCGTCGATGTTATCGACAACGGCATCTTTCCAACAGCCGACTAATAAATTGAATAAATCCCAGTTTACGGTGGTTCTGGTACTTCGATTTTGGAATTTAGCGGCCTTTTCTCCTTCCCGCGAGAATTAGAACCTTGCACGAAGGTGACGATGGTCTGATCCCGAGTAGAATTTTGGATCAACAGCGACATCGGTTACACAAAACCTTCTATTTATTATGATATGGTCTATTTCCTTATGGTACTCTCCATTGGGATACTCCCACGTGCAGCGCTGAGGGTGGGGCTTTTAGAATTGAGAGTTGCCATGGATTGTCTTGGTCGCCATGATAATGTCAGATAGCCGCTCACCGTGGCTCCATTCTAATCCGTGGGTCCCAGTGTGACGTACTTCAGACGTTCTTCTTGGTCCAGTCTTGGCGTTGAATTCTCCAATGATGACCTTGAAGAATGTGTGGTCTTTTCTGTTGAACTTCTCCAAGTCCATATAGAACGCTTCGACTTCTTCTTCGTCATAGTTTGATGTCGGCGCGTAAACGACGAAGATTGTTAAAGCCGGAATTGATCCACGTCTTTTTAATTGTAAACGTTCGATTTGAATTGTAAGCTGTTCGTATGAATCGATGTTCATGGACAAACTCGTGTTGACGAGAACGCCGACTCGTCTACTGTCGCATGTTCCGAGGAACAGTTCTTCTCCTATACCATAGACGGCGTTGAAAGGCTGGTGTCTCCTCGTCTCGGCCGGCCGATAACGTCGTACCTTATCCTTCTTGCTTGCATGAGCAAGTGTTCTATCGAGGACTCGTATGCAAGTGTACGTGCATTGTAGGTACAGATCGCCACCATTGTTCTTTGTAATCCAGGCAGCTTCCAATGGCTTTGAGATTTTAGCAGCCTCTCCGTACTCGTCCTACCCAACACTGCCGAATTTGGAGCTCATTCGGCTTAAGTGGAATGAGGCCGTTTCTTTTACCGTTTTCAGCTTTTTTGATACCCACGTGTAGCTTGCTGGGCTCTGAACGTTTGGCTAGGTATGCTCACGGGTGGCTTGCCAGGCTTTCCGAGAGTGGACATGGAGCTTATTTGTTGGAGGCGACTCCTAACCGCCTCCCACATACTTCCCAGTCACTTGATTGCAGGCTTTTGGTCGAACTGACTCATGGAATACAATCCGCATAAATTTGAACGCATCCACATATGTGTGCATCAATACGCCTCGCAAATGCAGAAAGCATGTATCAAAATCGGCGCAGCAGAACAGGGAGTCAGTCCATCCCTCTATCCACCTGCGTCTACATACGGTCTCTTTTGGTCCGCGATTGACCCCCTTTCCGCCACTTGGGGATGCGACACGTAGCCTCGCGACTAACCGGCTCGAGATCCCTCATGTAAGGGAGATGAGTGGAAACCAACACAATAGGAGAGCAAAACAATTTGGAAAAACAAGAGTAACGTTGTGATAACCGTCGATATCAAGATAAAATCACATTCGAAACTAATTTCGTGGATGATCGGTACAAATGCGGCTGGTCCATGTCTTCCTTCTAGTGGAGTGCTCAGCGCAGGTTAGATTTCGTCTAAGCAAACATTACTGGCTCCAGCACGCATGTGGTATTGCTCGGTTCGATATTTTGTGTATGCTTATGCATCAAACTCATTTTTTGCAACAAGTCTTCCTCACTAGGGATTGGTCAGCAAAATCGTTCAGACGTTTCTTAAGCTAAGCACGAACACTTCCACTAATGGCGAACGTCAATTAATACCTATGTTAAGCATGTTGAATGAATGAGGTTTATCTAACAAGTCATGAGCCCCGAACCTAACTTATTGTTCATAGGTGCATAAAGTATAATAAATAAGTTCAATCAATCGAAAGATTTAAGTACATGAAAGATGGTTTAGGTACATGAAGGAACAGTTTGGGAAGAAGCGCCTGTGGATTTTATTCCACCACATAACTGGGATAACTACGACCTTCCCAGATCAGTTAAGCGGTACATGGAATATGAGTGGTCTCTAAGCAGCTATACAAATGAATGTGAGGACGAGAAATCGCTTAAAGTGAGACTCTTAATCGGATTCATTTCGGCTTTGAAGTAGGATTATTAATTAGCCTTACTCATTCTTCGAAGCCGTAGGCTACTTTAATCCAGCATTTTTGTTCTCGAATATATTCAGTTGTTCTTAACAATTACCAGCTGACGTGAACTTCTACGCAAAGGCGCACAACCCAGTACACGACTCATTGTTGAATTTAATAGCTCAGATATCAAATGTAGGTAGAAAACAGCAAAAAAATGTTGCTAAAATCGATTGCAGATCGTTCCGGTGTACTTTTGGCCTGGTGATCAAGTTGACCTTCCATGTCTAATGTGCGAATTGGCTTTCGTCTTCAATGGTAAAGTGAAGATGTGGGGAAAAGCAGTGGATGTGCTGAAATTCCTCGAGGACCCTAAGGTAACATCGCCTACCATAAAAGAGAGCTTGAGTGTAAAAGTAGCCGTGATATTCTTAATGAATAGAATGTTTTCCATCGCAAAGATAACGATAACCTCTTGGATTCCTCTGATGTGCTAAGGGCTACAACCGTTTAGTTTGGAAGTTAGGTAGCGTTTCTGGTCCCACATATATTCAGAGCACCACGCATTCGTTTAGTCACCTTGCACTAATGTTCCATGGAGGAGATAGGTAGATTCGTGTATGGGACAGGAGGAGCTTGATCACCATTCCATTTCTTTCCTCATTGATATGCTGGGTACTGTTTGGGAATGATATCTACAGAATCCTAGAATTATAAGAGTGATAGCATGTTCTTATCTCTTTATCACTGGCAGTCTCTCTTAATCAGAATCGAATGAGTATTATTTGATAACGTGTCGGTTAGGATTCTTCATTTGAAACTTTCCATTAGTGGCAATGATTTTTGAGATTTCCGACCGACGAGTTCACCACGATGTAGCAACAACGAAGTGGAAAAGTAATTAATCGAGCTTTTTCAGCGAAATGCACGACTTTCGTCAACGAAAAAATGGTCGCAGATACGAAATGACAATCACACCTACAGTTTTCTGTGAGTTTGTCAACCAAGGCAAATGTGTTTCCCCATCGTTCTTATCCAAATTGGCTTTTGATTTTGGTGCTTTTGATTGCAGACATCGCAGAATTTCGTTATAGTGGTAAAAGTTCGGTTGATCGCGATCTCGATGATCGAATGCCAGAAGTGAGGCTTGATGACAACACCGTAGAGCACAAGCAGAAGTTGGAACCGTTTTACATTCAACGTAAAGGAAAACTCAGTATTATTCGTGTTAGTTAAAACAAAGGTTTTTCATTTTTCTACTCATAACTTGATACTTTAACTGATATTGAATGGCTTGTAAACTTTTTCCTTGTTTCTTCCCAAACAGGATAGATGGAACACTGCGAAACCAAGGTTCGCGTTCGACCCTCTGCCGAACGCTCTCCCCTATTTCACGTGGAAATGCACTAGCTCGGCTATCCCAAAGACTACGAGAGCAATAGATTCAACAAACATTCTACGGTATTCATTGAAAAAACGAAATTCTGAAGCAGCGGCCGAAACAACACGTGAGGATTTAGAAGTTCTTTCTGGATGATGAATGCGATAAGAAACGAATCGAATGCAAGAAGTGCTAAGGTCCTCACTTACTCAATGCGAAAGACCATTCGTGTGTTATGTAAAGATTCCACAACCAAAATTAGAATTGTCTACAATCAAAGCGTGTTAAAGGAAGATCTTGCTGGTAGATACGCCATTTTCCCTTAGTCGATGACATCGTTATTATGACAATGTTGATGGCTCGGTTTGACGAATGTTGGCCATTGTCTAAAGCGCTGGTGGAAAAATTCGTCTTTTGTTGAACTCCACGAAAATAATGTTGACGAGGAATGGATTCGTTTCTCTTATCTCATTTACGCTCAACGGAACGACGCCTGCACAGCAGAACGTCACATGTGATTGGGAGAAGTGGTCAACATGACTAGTCAATACAAAATGTCAGTAGAACCGCTCATGTAGTAATGAATTTCTAAAATGCAAGACGATGAAGGACGAATCGGTGAGGCTAGTCAGTACAAAATGGGTGCCCCATGAATTTGACTCTTTTTTTATTATTGTAAGAGGGGTTGAGTGCATTTTTAGCCTGTAAAATAGTAAGCGGTAGCCTACCGATCCATCAAGTCAGGGTAAGTATAAGAAGTATGCTAGCAGTCGCCGACTTCCGAAGGGCTGGATTGTTTGGTGAGCTTAGGACGTGAGATCGAACCAGCGATCAGTTAAATGCATTTAACAGTGCGCTTTTGACCTCTAACGTTGCAAGTGCTCATTGTAAGGTAGACGTGAAAAGATTTTGAAATAGACAACCTCGAGTGGTGTACTCTGCCGTGTTTCAGGCGAGTCCGGCTTCTCAGGGTGTATATTTTTGCTATGATACCCAATCGCGGTCGAACACTGCGATTTTCTATGTGGTAATGGCAATGACGCCACCCGTTCGAATGTCTGATATGGAAGGCGTTCTTAGTAGGTTATTTGAAAGCCGATACGATATGGATATTCTTTCTTGATTACTCTTTCTTAAACAAGTTGTTAATGGTGTTAAGTTCGTCATTTTTTTACTTAACATTCAAATGGCCGAACTTGGTGAATAATTATGCATATACCAGCGCTATTTCCATCTAACCATTATGTCGTTTATTAGTTAAGAACTTTTTCGCAGTCCCAAGAAAGATGTGCCATGTCGTTCACAGGTTGTAACTATAGGCAGCTGCTGATTCTTTTGGATCTAAATGAGGTTTTTTTGGATCATTCATGATTCTTAGAATTCATTTACACTTAACTAGCGAATGTAGCCGATAAGTTCCTCAGCATAGGTGACAGTGGGATCAGTTTTGGTACACAGCGGCTCCACACCGTTGTGCACCCTTTGCCACGATAACGCAGTCAGTAATGATTCAAGAGATTTTACATCAAAGATTGATGAGGTCCCGAATACAGGAATACACAAGAGCAGCAGCATACAATCGTGATGCCATGATCCTTCGATTCTAAACTTTCGACATAACATAGGGATATTGCATGCAGAAGCTCCACAAAAGAACTTAGAAGGACGCTTGTGATCTAAGGCTAAACCAATTATTAACAGTCTCATCGATTCCTCTGCGGCTTCACAATGGTATTTCGTTTATAAATTTCTGATGCAGTAGATTTTAAATGTGGATTAGTTCATTAACCAGTTTTCACGAACCGTGCGGTATTTGGTGGCGTTCTATTTCAGTGCTATTCTGAAATCTGAGCACACATAATTCCTAGATTGTGCCAGGGTTTCCCTATTTATCACTGAAGGTGTTAGACTGTTCAGAAATAAATGAGCCTTTTAATGCATTTATTGTCGTATTTTTGCCAATAAAATATTCTTTGTACCCTGCAATATTATACATTATTACTTGATACTTGATACTTGAATGGCCCGTGCTCACTGGTTGTGCGGGCCCCAGCATAATCACCATTTTTCGGAGAATCGCTGGTTAAGCCACTATGGTTTCCTGGAGTCCAGAGGTCAGCCTGGCCAAAATCTGCACCACCACAAGCAGTCGCACCCCTTGTGAGTCAGAGGGAGGTTTTCCACCATGCGAGTTTGATTCCAGGACGGTGGTGGATTTGGTTTACTCTTAGCTGGGCTTCTTGATGGGAACGCCGGACTTCTCAGTTTGGGAGATACTACCAGGGAATGATTCCCCCGCTGTATATCGCAGCCCGACAACCAGGAAAACCTCTCAGCCACGATGAGCCGGCGGTAAACCGTTGGGAGGATTATATATCATTAGAAAACTGATTTCTTGTTCTTTTTAAACATGTATTTACATTTTGTCAAAAGTTAATTTTTTAAATCAGTTTTGAGCTTTGCAATTTCAGATGTCAAAGACGAATTTTCGCTAGATTTTCTTTTATGGGTTCAAACTCGGTCGTAGTGCAGGAGAGACAGCCCGAAACGTTAAGAAAGTTTGCGGTGAAGATAATGTTGGTGAATCAGCAGTGCGAACATGGTTGCGGAAATTCTGATCTGGTGACTTCGACCTAGCAGTTTCCACTTACTTCAATCGCAGAGGAAGGCCAAAAAACTCGACAAGTGGATGCCGCACGAATTAAACGACAATTTAGAAAATCGCCGTTTTGAAGCGTCGTCTATTCTTATTCTGCTCAACAAAAACGACAATTTTCTTGATAGAATGTGAAGTGCGACGAGATGCGGATTCCGTGCCACAACCGACGACGTTCAGCTCAATGGTTGGATTGCGATCAGGGTCCACAGCACTTTCCAAAGCCGAAATTGCACCAAAAAAAGGTTATAGCGATTGTTTGGTGGTCTGGGGCCGGACTGATTCATCACAGCTTTTTGAATCCGGACGAAGCGATCATGGCAGAGAGGTATTGCCAACAAATCGACGAAATGCACGGTAGGCTTCAACGACAACGGCTGGAATAATCAGCAGAAAAGAACAATCCTTCTCAACGACAGCGCTCGGCCTCACGTTGAGGAAGCAACGCTGCAGAATTTGAACGATTTGGCCTACGAAATTTTGCCTCGTCGTCTGCATCTGCAAAGGTCTGTGTCTACCGACTATCACTTCCTCAAGCAAGTTGACCAATTCCGGCGCGAGAAATGCTTCACCAACCTCAATGACGCAAAAAAAAAATGCCTTCAACGAGTTTATCGCTTCCAGAACTCCAGAATTTTGTGCAATTGAAACAAATTTATTTTTCATTGGCAAAACCTGTATATTCGAAAGGTTTTTATTCTGACTGGTAAAGTTTTGTTCGAAGCAAATTATGACATTTCAAACATTTTAGTTGGAAACGTTCATTCATTTCTGAACAGTCTAATAATTGGTAATGTATTTCAGCGTAAAGGAAGAATAGGCAGTAGATAAAAGTAAAGATATTGTGAGTTCCACTGAAGCAGCAGCTCAACTGGATTCATGGGCGATTTGTGCTCCTCAGATCATTCGCATTACTGAGTGATCGACGACAGAACTGACAGGATAAGAAACATCTGAGAGCATTTCAAAGCAAAGGCCTCGGTTAATGTAGTGAATAACACGTGATCCTCTGGTGACAGTAGCAGCTGTTTCGAAGCCCCGATGAGATTCCGAGATTTGGTTAAATCTTAGCATCTCTGTGGTTCTCTCTGGCAACGTGCCCTGAAATGAAAAAAAGAATGGCAAGCAAATTAAAGTTAAGAGATTGACAATATATTTGTTGCTTTTCATTCACATTTCAGCAGAAGGAATGTGGAAATTTCTTGGTTAGTCTGTACTGAGTTGACGAAAACGTTGAGCTGTTCAACTTTAAGGACTTTGTTTGAAGATTGAATTTTCAGGTTCTATAATTTAGAAGCTGAGGAATCTTCTTTCTGATGACAATAGAGGGATCATTTATAGTTATCATTTAGTGTTATACTGTAATGGTGAATTCCAGCGGATGGCTGCTACGATACTAAGGACTACGGATTTATCCGTGCCAACTTCAATTGGCGATACCACTTTGTTCCAAATATTCGCCACGAAGCACCAAAGCAATGTCACAGACGAAAGAAAGGCTTTTGTGAGAAAGATTATGTGAGTTACAGCTTGCTTTGTAGATCATCAATAGACTCCTATTTTTGTGGTCCCAGCACATCGCCACGCCTTTGACAATGTGAGATCACCTCTGACCCTGATAAAGCGGTAATTGCCCAATCGAAAACTATCACACCCATGTAGGGCCTTTATTGACAAGGTAATAAGCAGTAGTGATTAGTATTATGTAGTCGAAAATATCCACACTAATTACCCGTGCAACTTCCTGAGTGTTGTTCTCGCCATCTTTTACTAGTCTTTTCTTCTGTCGCATCTCTAATAAATAAAAAACACGTTCTTCCATGTTTTGTTCCTTAAAAGGGAAAGCCCTAGCCCAAAACGTATTCATTAAAGGGACTTATTGGGAAATGTCAATTCACATGTTGTTAATATCAAGTAGTCTTAAGAGATTTCATATCAACAGTTTTTCAGTTCACTCAAGTAGACCCAGAAAAGGACTGTACTCTTGAATTTTGCCGGTAATTTCATAACTAACTCGTCATCTTGCAAGTTTTAGCTAACAAGGAAGAGAAAAGTTCTACGGAACGAACTTTAGTAAAGTACATGATATTATTCGGGAATCTCCAAGTTAGATCTATTCAACATCGTAATTAATGGGAAATTTAGCAATTAAGGTTTCGGTGACTGTTAGGAGTGTTCTTTAGAAAAGAGTTTAAAGAAAGTGAGATAGAGTTGAATTTGGCTCTGGAGCTTCGATGGGAGCCATGGGGTGAATGCGTCGGAAGCAGACAGCTGCAGAAACGCGAAGGTCGGTTAAATTTTTATGTTTATTCTTTTTGCAAAGATCATACCGTCGTTAAAGTCATTTTGTACTATGCGATAATCCTGTATACTCTTGCACGCGTCAAGGAAAATGGGAGATTTACTGGCGCCCGCCCAAGTCATTCGACAATCAACGGGATGCCAAGCGATACATGCGACAAGTGACAGCTAATTTGACCCATTAAAGTTACCTGAACCGGGATGAAGCGATAACGGCGCAAGAGTATGTCCAGTAAGAATTCGTCGTTTTCTTGTTCAGCAATCGCGAGGTTTTTAAACAGCATGCATTTACTTCCATAAAAAACCACAATACAATACAACGCTAGCTGACGTTTCGGCAGTATCGCCTTCTTTAGAGCCGCTTTTTACGTGACTTCCAATGAGGAAGTTCAGAACAGCTGATTAGTAGTCATCAACCATGTGCGACTATAATCAGCTGTTCTGAACTTCCTCATTGGAGGTCACGAAAAAGCGGTGGGTTCTTCGAGAAGTTGTTGATCATGAAATTACCAAATAGTTTTTCGTCTTTTTGTAAGTGTCATTGAAGCGTTTGGCCTAGTAGATTGTATATCAGTATACCCTTCCAGGCTCTGAAGAAGGCGATACTGCCGAAACGTCAACTAGTGTTGTATTGTATTGTGTTTTCTTTATGGAAGTAAATGTATGCTGTTTAAAAACCTCGCGATTGCTGAACAAGAAAACGACGCATTCATATTCCAATGCCGAGGTTAATAGAAAGTCGATCCTGGGAGCTATTACCTGTATAGATAACTTTTTTATGTCTAGAATTCTCTATTACTGTTACTGGCCGGGTGGTTCGAAATGGTTTTCAACACAAACGTGATCGTTGGTTTGAAGCTGCGCCTCGGGTACACCAAGGCCCACATCTGTCTAGATCCGGCGAATCGTTACCGGAAATGTTCGGGAGCACCAATTTGCTACATTCGTAGATCTTCGCGTGTCACCGCGTAGGAAGAAAATGCATTCAACAACCTCTAACAAGCAAAATGCGTTCTACATTCCTCAGTGGTATTGGGAAATACCCTATTTTCTTTACCTTTTATCGCATTTACAGATGGGAATTGAAGAGTTTTTGGACAAGGTAATCGACGCTAATAAGTCAGCAAGTTGGAACGAGTGTATAAGCCCCTTGCTCATTTTTTTTCTACCAGTTCTCAGCCTGCATAGATTCCAGCACATTGCTATCTAGTACGAAAATCTGGTTACCAAATTCCGGACCGAAACCTCGACAAAAAGCACGACTGGATGACGAAACTCAACACACTATTCAATCACGAACCGTTTACGTCTAAAGGAATACGACTGTACAGGTTCGTTCGACAGTAACTTTTTTTACCACAGTAGCCGCTGCTCAAATACCCTGCTCAATACACAGTGGGTACAATACATCAGGTATCCACACTGCCGTTGGGTACGGATACTGTAGGCATTTGCAGCGACGTTGCTTTTAACCACAATGAAGTAATGTAGGATTGTACAAACTTGACGATGACGGTGAATTTACTGAAAAACTCAGCAGGAGTGATGGAAATAACATCATTTCAAGCAGCTCTGTCCTCACAGTAACTGGAGGCACTTTTTTCAAATACCAATGAATGACAATAGTTGGTAGTATTAACAGTGGTAATAACAGTGGTGGAGACGCGACAGTTAGGAAGCTGTCCAATACAAATACGGCACACACAGCTTCAAAACCATCTTCCACCATTTGGGTTTAGAAAACCAATGTCAGACTTATCTACCAAAGTTCGTTAACACAAGCAATAGTTAATGACTGCCTCTGATGAAAAACTGGAAACATTCTAGTATAGCTGTCCTGAGATTCCAAGTTAGATCAACTCAATCAACATTAAATGGCATTTATAAAGATGGTATTGTGTCATTTCCTTCAAACGGTTTACCGCCTCTCCGTGGCTGGGAAGTGTTCCCGGGTGTCGGACTGCGATGTACAGCGGGGATTCATCTTCTGGCAGGGTTTACCAAGCTGAGAAGGAGTCCGGCGTTTCCATTAGAAAACCTTGTTAAGAGTAAACCAATACCAGGATCCACCACCGTTCTGGTAACAAAGTCGCATGGTGGCAATTCTCCCTCTAATCCACAAGGGCTGCGACTGCCTGGGATGGTACAAACCTGGGGCAAACTTTGGCCAGGCCAACCTCAGGATTCAAAGAAACCACAATGTCTTAACCATCAAATCTTCGATAAAATGGATATTTACTGGAGTCCGCACAACCGGTGAAGACGAGCCATGCAAATATCCAAGTAAGTATTGTGCCCTTTCGCACATGTTTTCAGTGGTTTTCGGTGGTGGCATAGGCTTACTCTTGTTTCCACTTCTGAGTGGAAGTGTTGAACATGTATACGGCTTTAATGAACTCAGTGAGCGAGTGAATTCGGCACTAGTAGGACTTAAAGGGTTTGTAGCTTTTTTAATAGTATTTAGCACGATGAACTGGACACATACCATCTTTCTAGCATTTATCCCAGTGTAGTCGTTTCTCTCTAAAGTTAAAAGTAAGTCTTGAAGAAGAAAAAATGAAAAACTATAGGAAGACGATGAGCTTCATTGAGTTCTACAAGCCATGAATTTAGTTCACTGTTGGCTTCTCTGTTTGTGGATGAGAATGTTATGACGAAATGCTATTATGAGGAAAAGTATGAAAAGGTAGGATATTTGCTTGCTGTGTTTTTCTGCAACAAATCGGTTAAAAACGGTAAAAATATTTTAGAAAGTTAGAACACAATAAAATGATCAAGCGAATGATCTAATCATTCGCTTGATCATTTTATTATGTTCTAACTTTCTAAAATATTTTACGAAGTTCAGTCCATTCAAGAACAGACCTAGCATCTGAAGAACACATCGCCAATACTCGTCAACACATCGGCTCGGCTCTTCTCAGGTTCGAAGTTCTGACCACGTGGAAGAATTGAAATCGAAGACAGCGTTGCCCATTCAAAAATGTCGAGGATCAAATGGACCGGAGACAAAGGGCGTTTGAATGACAACCGTTGCACAAAAAACTTTAACGACTAGATTCTTGAGGATGTCAAACGCTCAGCAAGGAAACCATTAACCCGGTGGTCGGAGTTGCTCACGAAGACAGTGTGACGCTCAGCGACTTTATGGAACGAACAGAGGCAACTGGGCAACTGTTGACACTACAGATACAGGTGGAGAATTTAGTGGCGACGCGCGACTTACTGTGTAACAGAATTATTTATTCTTATGATATCCGCTGATGGAAATTCAACGCACTGGAGGCAAATGAGATGAAGATACTTTTCTCAAAAAGTGAAAGCCGTTCATCATCATTACTCCATCTGCAGTCAGTATTTCTCTCGCGCTTCTCATTCTTCACCAACTTCAATGAAGAACGCAACCTAATCTGAGAACACTGAACCAGAAGTTTTTAATTCATGTAAGGGGACATAGACTTCGTGAAAGCAAATTCCACTGGTCGCACAGCGCAATTCACCGAAGCTCAAGTCATATGCACCAATATCGATGGTTTTGCAGCCATTCCGAAATCCCTGGCTCCAGAAGTATCTTGTGTCAGAGGATAAACGTCTAAGAGATGAATAGTTTTTTAAAGGGTATAAAATCTGTGTTACCTGTAGCCCCATTGATCGCCGAATGGGTCGACTGGGTGCCAGTAAATTCTCCATTTTTCCCTGTTGCGTGCGAGAGTAGTCTAGTGGACCCTGCTCGCTCTAGGGACTCGTTGAGCATTATATCTTTCTTCTAGGCTTTTCGTGAAGAACTCCGACAATTAGGTCGGTGGTCTTCCTGCAGTGAATTTGACATCCTGAGGAAACTAGTCACTAACGGCTCTTGTCCGTCGGCTTTCGTTCATACGAATTACGAGTCCGGTCTATCTTATCTTCGACTGTATGGCGTATAAAACTGCATCTTCGATTTTTGATCGTTGACGTAAGTTGAACCTTCTTATACCTTCCCTTACTTGTGTGACACGGGAGACTCCTAGCATCGTCCTTTCGACTGCGCGTTCAATAACGCCGTGTGATCTTTCATCCTGCTTACGCTGCGACCAGGTTTCTGACCCATACGTTAGGGCAGGAAGTACCGTTGAGTCGAAAACGGGGCATGGAGTCGGGTGTTCCTTGTCCTCTTCACTACATCCTCGATGCTCTTGAAAGCTCTCCAAGCCGCTCGTTTCCTTCTGCTCAACTCTGGAGCTAAGTCGTTCATCATGTTGATTTCGCGACCTATACAGACGTAGCTGGATCATTCGGAGATGTTCGTTCCGTTGAGAGTGACTGGGGCATACGAAACCAATCCGTTCCTCATGAACATCTTATTTGTGAGATATCGTCTAAAACAAATCTTTCCATAGGTTTTATCGAGGTCAGCAATCATTCGTTCCGCTTGACTAATGTTTGGGTTATAAGGACGGTGTCTTCAGCAAAGCGAAGATGGAATAATTGCCGACCATCGATTTTTGCACCGATATTATCCCATTCCAATGTTTGTATGACGTTCTCGAGGGTAGCGGTCAATAGTTTTGGCGAGATGGTATCGTCTTTCCTAACTCCTGTTTTGACGTCAACGTTAATATCGTTGTAGAATGGGGATACTTTGGTTGTGAAATTGTACAGCTCGCCAAGAATCTTTTACTGAGTAGGGACTTCCTGACTATCAAGGGCTTCGCTCCCATGACTGCTTTTATCTCAGTTGGATCGAAGGCCTTCTGTAAATCGATGAAAGTGAGACAGAACGGTCTTTTGTACTCTAGCGATATTTCAGTGAGTCTTGTTATCGTGTGGAGGTGGTCCATCGTGCTAAATCCTTTTCGAAACCCTGCTTGCTCACATGGCTGTCCTTCGTCCAGTGTTCTGTCAATCCTATTTGGGATGTCTTGAGTGAAAAGATTGCAGATCAGACAGATACCAAGCATATTGAGCGATAGTTGTCGATATCATGTAGGTCACCCTTCGTGAACAATAACACGGTCTTGCTGGTCTTCCACTGAGTAGGGACCTTGCATCCAGTCAGCTAATGTGCTTTGAGCCGAACCAGTGTGTTTATGAGGACTAGCGGAAGGTTCTTCAGGTGTTCTGATCTTATCCTTTGCGGATCTGGTGCTGTTCGATTTTTCACCGACGAAACGGCATGTCGGATTTCGGAAGGGAGAACCGGTGGTACAACATATCCACCCTTCTTCACTTTATATAACGGAAGGTGGACGTGGCTATCGAAGAGATCCGAGTAGTATTCGTGAATGATTTTCTCCATTGTCTTTCTGGACGCTGTAACTGTTCCGTCTGGGCACCGGAGAGCAATCATTTTGGTCTTGTAATTGGCGAAGCTTCGGTGAGCTTTGTGAATGCTTTTCCCAGGCTCTGCAGCTTCGGCCATTACTGCTGCTCTTTTCTCTCCAAGATCTTCTTTTATCGCCTCTCTGCATTGTGTTGCAATTCCAGACGTGAGCTGACGGTAGCCTGCAGCTCCTGTGATTCCACGCTGTATTATGAGCTCGAGTGTTCCTGGAAACAGACGTCTCTTGGTGACTTTCGAACTCTCGGCTTTCATAGCGCTAACGTGAAGACGTTGAATGAGCTAATCGTATTCCTTGTCAGTGTTATCGACAACGGCATCTACCAACAGCCGACTAATGAAATGAATATTAGCTCAAGTTTATTTCCTTTCCTTAATATTTCTCCTTTCCGCGAAGAATGGAGTCTTGCACGAGAGAGGCGATGGTTTGGTCCCATGAAGAATTTTTGGACAGCAGCGACATAAGTGGGACAAAACCTCCGATTTACTGTGTTGTAATCTATTTCGTTATGGCACTCTTCACTGGGAGACTCCCACGTCCAGCATTGAGGGTGAGGCTTCTGGAATTGTGAGTTACCATAGATGATGGTCTTCGTTGTTATGATCTTCTAGAACTTCTTCAAGTCCATATAGAACGCTTCGACTTCGTCTTCGTCATAGCTTGATGCCATTCCGTAAACAGCGATTGTGGAAGCTCGTATTGATCCACATCTCTTTAATCGTAAACGTCCGATTCAAGTTGTAAGCTGTTCGAATGTTCATGGACATACTCGTGTTGACGAAAAGGCCGATGCCGCCCACTTCTTCACTTTTGCAAGTTCCGAGGAACAGTTCTTCTCCGGTGTCATATATGGCGTTGAATGGGTGGCGTCGTCTCGTCTTGGCCAGGCCGATGACGTCGTACCTTATCCTTCTCTTCTGCAGGATCAAGTCTTTTGTTGAAGACTCAAATGCAAGTGAGAGTGCATTGTAGGTACACATCATCACTTTAGTCCTTTGTGTTTTAGGTAGGCTAGAGCGGCCCCGAGATTTGAGCAGCCTCTCCGTACTCGTCATACCCAACGCTTCTGGGGCTCATTCGGGGTCAGGAGAATGTTGCCCCATTATTTTAGTGCGCTAAGCGTTTGAAAGATACGTATAGGTTGCTGAGCTCTGAACGTAACGTGAAGAGTGGGCGTGCTCTGCACTGAGTACTGTATATGCTAATATTTACTTTATGCTATCATGATGCATTACACAAACACATTACTAACAACATTTAGAAATGTTTTTTGAGTTACGCCATTTCCATTTGGAATTTTTCACGCTCCATATTCCAATCGATAGCCATAATTCATTGTCAATAAACTCGTTCAAGAAAAAGCTTTGTGTATTTCCAAGAAAAGAACAGAGCTTTTCCCAGCCCATCACCTGCCACATAATCTGTGTTGGATAGCCTGCTGATTAATTACGAACTATGTTGGAAATAGGCTCTAAGCGCTAAAATAGACCACCAGTAAGAAAATGATTCCTTTATAGCCCATACCGGCCAGTCAGAGAGTCGCGTATGGGAACTATAATGTTCAAGTCGTAGTTAATGAGCTAAGCAATGAATTTGCTAACATGACTATAAGTAAATTTAGACGTATTTAGACCGATAGAATATGGCGAGTGATTTTGCATACAATGACTGGACGATACAAAAATGGCAAATTCAACGATACGGTGGTCGAGTTGGATAAGAACGGCAATGTCATCGGTCGTCCACCAACTTTTCGTCTCAGCAACCCGTTTCAGGCTTGCATGGCGTGAGCTCCTTTTCCTACCAACAATTAGCCTAGATAATTCCTTTAACTCATTTGACCTTTCTTTACGTAGTGGGTGAGTAGCGAGGACATGAGTAGCTGTTTATCTCCAATGAATTCCGTAGCCGTCAGCCCTTCCCGGTTCGATAGAGAAACCCTTCTATTTTCATAATACTCGTGTGTAGCCTTTTTTCCATCGTTTTTGATGAGTATGGTAGCCAGGGTTGGTTCGTCGAGCTACCGAAGGCTTCCTCATGTTCGTGCATTCTTCAGGGGCAGTCGTTAATTAAACAAGGCAACCTCGAATCTTTTTAAATACCTTTTCCGCTCTCTATTTGATTAAATCGACATGAGTAACAAGTGTAAATCGGACGCACTACTTCCATAGGATCAAGAAAGTATTGCATCGTGGGAAGACAATTTCAAGCTCGTGACGAAAAACACCTGAGTAAAAAATTCAGCTGGATTTCAGGTACGACTATGACGGGGAAACTCGCATCGAACATTTTGTTGGTACATATATGACAGAAACTCGACCGTGCACATCGGAGAACTCACGGAAATTGTAAACCCTAAGCATATCCAGTAAGTATTGCTTCGGAATCGCTGTCATAATCTAATTAATTGTTTGATTAATAAACATTATTAGTGCACTGCTTTCATCAGAATAAACGTATTACTATGTTCAACCCTTACGTACTGCTTTGCTTACTTTCACGGCAAAGCATTACGTAAAATAAAACCGCAGTGATGCCGAGATATGAGCAAAACGTGGAACCAGAAACGCGATTCGAACCTGCGATTACATTTTTTTCGTGAGCTAAAGCGCCACCGACTGCTCCATGAACGACGTTGTTTTCCCCTTTTTTCAGCTTCGACTGAACTGGGTTCAATGCTGATTTATGTTTCCCGGTTCATTCCCGCTGGTGGGCGAATGCTGATAGCACCGTTAGGTTGAAAAAATTCTGAGAGAAAGGCGAAATAATGGCTTCGGTGGTGCAATGGGGAAACACGAGAGCGCACGGAAAGAGTTGTCGTGGGATCGAAACATTACTGTTTTGGATAATGTGTAGAGCAGAGTAAATATTTTTCCACATTTGTATTCAACCCGTGGTCATCTACTGTGCAAATGTCAACACTTCCTGCATTCGATTCGTTTTACTCATTTATCGTACATAGTGGTCCTCATTTCGTGTGTTGTTTCAGCCACTGCTTGAAGATTTCGTCTTCTTTATGAATGTCGTAGAGTGCTTGTAGAGTCAACTTTGCTTGAAATCTTGGAAATGGCTGGGCTAAGACGTTGCCACGTTAATCGGAGAAGAATCTTGGGGCTGGGCAGTGAAACAGTTTTCTATTCCTGCACGTACAGTGTCTGGTTTGAAACCCATGATTTCCAAGTCAGCGGAGCATCCCTTTAGCCTCGCTTGGTGTGATAAAATTGGTAGTAGACATCGTTCACGAAATGCAAAACACCGAATTTCCTGTGATGATTCTCAGACCGGAGAAATCATTGCTCAGAAGGAATCCACTATGTTAAATTTAAGAAAGAGATTCTAACAAAGCGTCTTACCTCAACAAGAGTGCCAGCACGTTGCACATCGTGCACACTGTTGAAGTCCTACGTGCATCTTCTTAACGTTTTCTCTTTCTACAGTAACTAAATTATAAGTTAATTACTGGCTGCAATAGTAAAGGTGACGCGGAGATTTCAGTTACTAGGTGATAACGAGCAGATTCGACCTGCTCTATACAGTCGCCTTCGGGCGATTAGTCGACTAGCCGCATGCGTCGCTGCCCTCTATGGAATCGCGTATTTTCCACGAAGAATCCCAGTCGTAGCAAACCAGCCGTAAACACATAAGGCCCAATCGTTGTATACGACTAAGATATGAGGTCACCCTAACACACCTATTCCTGGATTCCAGCAAAAACTACACACCGTTAACCACCATTTGACAAGTGTATGAGGATGAAACGGATGGAATCTTCATTCTATTACCTAACAAATGCTCTAACCGGGCCAGTAGCAAGAAACCTGATGATGGATCTTGCCCTTTTCTGATTTTAATCTATTTAGTTGATTCTTTACGTAATTCGTGCCAGATGAGGGTAGGATGTGTGCGCCTGTGTTGCGTGTTTCATCATCGACGAAAAATTCATCAACATTGACCGCCCTTTATCCCTGTGATTTTTCTTCAATTCAATTTTGTTGTAACTAATCCTCGGTCTGATGCTCTTTGAGGAAAAGGGGGGTTATTTCCACAACAAAATAAACTTAGGAAAGTAAGGTCCCATGTAGAAGTCCTTACGATTGCGAATAGTTGTACTGCGACAAACATTTTCGATTTACCTCTTTGTTTGATAGTTATATTTATTAAACGTGATTAGACCAACGCTGGGGTTTTGAGGACAAAGAACCGCAATCAACTGTAGTTCTTAAAAGAAGCGATACAGATCTTTCGGACTTTCATTACTTGGACTAACAGGGCTCAAGGAATTCATTTTTTTGCCTTCTTGTGGTCCACATTTCTTGTCGCAAAGAATAGAGAGTGTTAAAGAATAGAGTCAAGTCCTACTTCGTCCTACGTAATGTCTTTAGGCATTGTTCACCTTGTAATATTTAATTTCGTATTTTCTAAGAAATTCAGCTCGTTTCCTATAGAAAATTTGATGATATTGGCCCATTCCATTACATCATTTTGGATCAGTCGGTCGACTAATCGGTAAAGCAGCTGTCTCAGTCGTCCTGAAAGAATCCCGGTGGTACAAAAGTAAGCCTTATTCTAATCGCTAAAAGCGGTGGACTGCTCACGTCAGAGATCAGCGAGCATCCAAGTACGTTGGTCCCAGAATTTCAGCAAAATCTATTCTCGGTCAGTCTTTGGCATAACAATTAGGGGAGTCAAGACGGCGTAAGAAGTAGTTACGATATGGAGAATTTTTCTTCGACTCTGATCTTAATTCCTAGTTCTCTAGCTAAAATGTGGAATTTTTTGCACACTCTTCTAAATGTTCATACATGTTCATTCATGTTCATCATACATAGTCCACCCAACATCTTCAGTTACTTCTATCTGCACTTCACATGTTATCCACTCTAAAGCAATCCTGCCTACTTGACCTTAAACGTTAGCAGTAAGTGCGAGGCCGCTGCAAAAATGCTATAATTTTGTTTCGTGCCCGATGAATGGCTATTCGATTTCGTCAGGTTGGTACAACGTTGTGCATTTAAGCCCATATTTAGTAACTGGAGGCGTGGCGTGCGGACCGCATTCGAGGCTATGAGTGGCGTTTTGTGGAGTGCCCTCCACTTCATTCGTGAACGTAGTTGTGTGCGGTTGTCACCACGTCGGGTCGTATGAAGGAGGCAAGGGACTCGGCTGGAAAAGTTAAACCCCATCTCAAAGTGCTTAGGAACAGCATCCAAAGAATCAGCAAGCCAGCGATTCGTCGTCTCGTTTGTCGTGGTGGAGTGAAACGCACCTCAGGGCTAATCTGTGAAAAACTCGTGGAGTACTGGAGGTGTTCCTTGAGAATGTAATCCAGGATGCCATCTCCCACTTTGAACATTCGAGGACAAAGACTGATGTGTATGGATATCTTCCACGCTCTCAAACTCCAACGACGTAGACTGCGGTTTCTCGCTGCATAAGAAGTGTACCCTAACGGGTCTGTTCAAGCCCATAGTTCATGGAACGAATAGGTTTACTTCTATTTCCTCGTGATTAGTGAAACGAAGTTGTTGCTTGTTTAGTAGAGCACATTTCGAATTCTCATGTGCAAGTATGTCTAGCCGATAGTTGACTTATTGCGAGTTTTCGAGTCTCAGAGTTGTAACTCCCACGACCGGCTTTCTGTTAACCTCGGCTTTGATTGAATAATTCTTTATATTTCTATTTAGCAAATACGTGGTGTTATTTCATTTGTTTATTTACGCACAAGCTGACGTTTCAACGGATTTCGCCTTCCTCGGAGCCTGGAAAGGTCAAGTTGACAGCAATCTACCGAGCCAAACACCTCCATAACCCAACAGAGAAAATGCTAAACCAAAATTTCAGTTGGTTGAATTTGAATTGAATTGATTCGAAGTTTTGGTTTAGCATTTTCTCTGTTTGGTTACGGAGGTGTTTGGCTGGATAGATTGCTGTCAACTTGACTTTTGCAGGCTCTCACAGTTCTCTTCGATACGATATTACTTTGGTCGGAATTGTTTTTTCAATCTTGACACAAATACGGCAAATAGTCGTTGATGGTATAGCTATCTAAATTACCTTCCCTCTGCACTTTTTCGTTTTTTTTTCTTTCCTTTTATTTTATGCAATCCAGGGGTGGTGATGTCCGTCATCACGAGCACGGTGATAGTTCGATTCCGCGCCGGGTCAAACAAGCCTATCATCCCTTCGGGGTCGGGGAATTGCTACCGGACTTGTCTTGGAAAAAAATCATTTTCTGCACTCCAGTTGGGAACGCTCCAGCCCGGCTATCTCAAGGCTTGATGGAGAACTGCTCGAGCAGCATTCCACGAAATTCAAGATGAAATGAAAATCCTCAAGCAGCAACTAAAGCCACATGTAAAAGTTAGATCTGCGCGGACAATGGATGTGATGAAACGAACCGAATGTGAGAAGTGCTGGGATCCGTACGATAGATGTGAAGACCGGTCAAATAAAATAGAAATAAATAAATTTTATGCAATCCGTCTTAACGTCTACTATGCGGATCCGAACCCTCCTCATATTTGATTCGCTTCCTCGCATCCATCATCCACTTAGGTCTTCCAACTTTGGGTGTGGCTTCGGCTACTGCTTAAGGATTTTCATTTCATCTTGAATGTCGTAGAATGATGGTCGAGTTGGTTCTCCCTGGATTCCTGAGATAGGCGAGCTGGAGCATTTCCAACTGGATTGCAGAAAGTGATTTTTTTTCCAGACATGTCCGGTGCCAATTTTCCGACCCCGAAGGGATGATAGGCTTGTTTGACCCAGACCAGAATCGATTTACCATGCT